TATAAAGACATGTAATTTGCCTCTGTTAAAAAAATCATGAATTCTGAAAAGGTACACGCAATGGGAAAAACATGTCTGTTCAAACGTATAAACAATCGAACTTATTATTTTATGTATGATCAATGCTATTTTGTTAGTGAAGTCAACAATCAAACCAATAGCGAACATGTTGTATTTTGCTTGGACAAAATCATATAGAAAAAACTCTAATATCAGAGCAAATGCACACAATAGCTTCTAGTTCATGCGTATGTAAGTTTCTTGGTAAATTTTTTCTACTCTTCTTTTTATTGCACACTTACTAAATATATATATGCATGGGTAGGTGAAACAATATTTTTGAATGTGATGCTTGGATTTTGTTTGTGTGCTTTTGTTTTTCTTAAAATATATGACTGGCTTCGTGTGCATGAAATACATAACTCTTCCAAATTATTTAAAATTTGATTTTTGCTGATATTTTATACTGGCTTCATACTAAAATATGATATTTGCCTATGACATGATGCGAAAACACCGGAGTAGCGCAACCACAGTTGTTATTAGTGTAAATGCTCTTAATACGTTTGGCTATCAAGCCTTGGCTATGCCATACAGTAACAATAGTTTCATGAAGAATATTCATAAACACCATATTGTTCAATAAGTCGTTTCTTATTGAAACTGAATCGACACTTGAATCGATTCAGTGTTGCTTATGTTTAGGAATCTGGCACTTGAACCAGTTCCTACTGCAAAATCTGAATTTGGCACTTAAACCAACTTCAGGTGGATTCAAACAATATTTTTGAGCAAATAGGCACTTGAACCTATTTGCAGTTGAATTTTAATAAGCACTTGAACTAATTAAAACGCAAGGGCTGTTTTGTATTGAATGATAAATTTATTAGAAAATGTTGAGGTTTTATACACATGTGGCAAGGTGTTGATGCATATTATTCCCACGATAATGCTCTATACCTTAAGCTGCATTAAAGTAGCGATTAGATATCGCTCAGCTTAGTCGTGGGAACGGTCACAGTTCTCATGGAAATTGTATGCATTGACAAATAAGAATATTACTTGCGTAATTTCCTTAGCAACCTGGTATATGCTTATAAACTTATTTTCTTTTAACCTTGAGCTAAGTCCATATACCAGCTTGCTTTACAAACATAATTATTATTTAATAAGTACAATACTGACCTTGCACATGTAATTAAATTAAGTTAATAGTTCTAGTTAATTTTGTATAATTAATTATCTAAGGTTTATAATTGTATTCTATATAATTTAAGTAATTAAATTTAGTTAATAATTCTATTGTATTTGATATAAGAATATAATAATAAAAACTTAATATATAAAAAATAATCAATTATTGTATAATATGTGTCCAATTTGGACATAATAATGATCAGCCTAAATCTTGTATTTTAAGTAATATATTATAAATTATATATTTCAGATTTATTCTATTATTTTTGTTTTGTTGTCAAAGCAAATTTTTATTCTCGTAATGTTAATGACTTGATGTCTTAGCCTTGAACGGTGGGTTAAGACATCAACATTTACCAAAAACAACAACAACATTTGTATATCACACGAGCACAATTTGCTCGTCATAGGAAACTGCAGATAAGCCATGCATTTGGAATGTGCAATTCTTTAATACAGAACATTATGAGAAATGAAAATTCGTTTGTGAAAGGTCAGTATTATAATTATTAAAATAATAGTTACGTTTATAAAGCAAACTGGTATATGGACTTAGTTCAAGGTTAAAAGAAAATAAGTTTATAAGCATATACCAGGTTGCTAAGGAAATTACGCAAGTAATATTCTTATTTGTCAATGCATACAATTTCCATGAGAACTGTGACCGTTCCCACGACTAAGCTGAGCGATATCTAATCGCTACTTTAATGCAGCTTAAGGTATAGAGCATTATCGTGGGAATAATATGCATCAACACCTTGCCACATGTGTATAAAACCTCAACATTTTCTAATAAATTTATCATTCAATACAAAACAGCCCTTGCGTTTTAATTAGTTCAAGTGCTTATTAAAATTCAACTGCAAATAGGTTCAAGTGCCTAGTTGCTCAAAAATATTGTTTGAATCCACCTGAAGTTGGTTTAAGTGCCAAATTCAGATTTTGCAATAGGAACTGGTTCAAGTGCCAGATTCCTAAACATAAGCAACACTGAATCGATTCAAGTGTCGATTCAGTTTCAATAGGAAACGACTTATTGAACAATATGGTGTTTATGAATATTCTTCATGAAACTATTGTTACTGTATGGCATAGCCGAGGCTTGTTAGCCAAACGTATTAAGAGCATTTACACTAATAACAACTGTGGTTGCGCTACTCCGGTGTTTTCCATCATGTCATAGGCAAACATCATATTTTAGTATGAAGCTAGTATAAAATTTCAGCAAAAATCAAATTTTAAATAATTTGGAAGACTTGTGCATTTCATGCACACGAAGCCAGTCATATATTTGAAGAAAAAAAAAGCACACAAACAAAATCCAAGCATCACATTCAAAAATATTGTCTCACCTACCCATGCATATATATATTTAGTAAGTGTGCAATAAAAAGAAGAGTAGAAAAAATTTACCAAGAAACTTACATACGCATGAACTAGAAGCTATGTGTGCATTTGCTCTGATATTAGAGTTTTTTCTATATGATTTTGTCCAAGCAAAATACAACATATTCGCTATTGGTTTGATTGCTGACTTCACTAACAAAATAGCATTGATCATACATAAAATAATAAGTTCGATTGTTTATATGTTTGAACAGACATGTTTTTCCCATTGCGTGTACCTTTTCAAAATTCATGATTTTTTTAACAGAGGCAAATTACATGTCTTTATGTTTCTATGTTTTTGCTCATACTTTCTGCTATATAGATCTCCAAGCATTACAACAGCTAAAAATACCGCTCAATTATAAAAACCGTTGATCCAAAGGCGAGAATCTGTTTCAGAAGTTTAGGGAGCTATCACCAAAGGATTGGCACAAAGGTGTTTTATATTATCAACATTTACACTAAATAGGCGAATATCATTTGGATACTGTGACTAGTGAGGACAGCTATTAGTAGTATGTAGTTCTTGTAATATGGAGTCATTCCACTGCTTCCTAATAATGTTACTTCATATTGCTAGGAGCCTGTAGTTTTGCAATTTTATGCTAAAATTGAAAGCAGTGTATAGTAGTTTATTGCTGTTAAGTGGAGTTTTCATTAATTTGCGAGTAAAACGACGACAAACAGACGTCGTTAAATGGAATAATGTCGTCGAACTGATTCAGCTGATATATAGGTTATTATATGTATGGTATCCACAATATTCTTCATTATGTCCTTTATCTATTTTAAAAACGTAATAAACAGGATATGAACATTGTCAGCGCTAAGGCGTGTTGAAATTATTTACATAAATTTTATTAACTGATGAAAATATGGACACATCAAGATTTGGTGTCTTTCTATTATTTGTTGTGAAGTGCATTAACTAAAGTTATTGACGTTACAATAAACATTGTACGGAAATTTAGTAGAGGAAGAGAGGAACAGTTACTACATTAAAAACCATTGTTCATTTATAATCACAGTTTAATATAAATATTCACATAGATGAAAACAATAAAAAATTCTTTGATTTATAAAAGTTGATACTAACTAATTGTTAATTATTCTTAATTGGATATTAAAATATTCGGCTCGATTGTGTGTAGTATGTTGAATCCTTTATGTAATATGCAAACTCGTTCAATGCCACAATAAACTAGAAACCTGGAGAACTGTAAAAAGTAAACTCACATTATTAATAAATTAAATTTAATAAAAAACTAAGACCATATACCTCTACGGAGTCATCATGCTTTGTGCTTATGCAAACTACAATGCGATCGCGAAGTTTTTGTTCCAAGTTTTGTACATTTAATGCTTCGAGTCGTGGTTCATCCAATTGCAAACCAACGAAGGGTATATTTATGCTGTTATCTACTCGCGCTCTAGCATATTCGTTAACACTACGTATATCCAAAGATATCATATCTTGTGGTGCGTACAATAGCAAGTGCACGAAGTTGTTGGCACTTATACGCGGGCTCATTTCCATTTGCAGATGAGTGAGTGTAACATCGGTACTAATATCCTGCAAATAAAAAATGTACAATTCTACAATATTTATAATAAAAATAGTTATTGAAGATGTTAATAAATTGATGACAAATTAATTGACTCGTATACTGGAATCACTGTTTAACGAAGGGTCTCATAAACGGGCAACTCTCTTAACCGACCAATATTGCTAATCCCTGGTTTTATTTTTTATACAAAGTAAGTTTCTTAAAAATGAACAGTTTTCTTAATCGAAAAGTATTTTTAGATCCGTCCATACCTTCTCAATAAAACTATACTTTGTATGAAAACTTAGGCATGGGGTTTAGGAGAGTTGACAAATGTTTCTGTACCGACACGAATAGAAAAAGAGAAATAATATATTTAACTGTCATAATCTTACATTAACAGGTATATGTAGCGAACTATTGCTTATACTCTTAGTATATATAAATGCCTGTAATAGTTTAAAATTATTGTTGTAACTTTTAAACTTACAAATTCTCCTAATTGTTTTGTATGCAGCATATGCGTACGTTGTGATACACTTTTTGGTGTTAGTTCATACATTTTCTGCGATTCCACTACACAATTTTCCATAACTATATCGGGCAAATCAGAGAACAGTAAAATGCACTCATTAAAACCTGACCCCAACAAAGTATTTTTAAGTTGCCGTAGTATCGAAATTCCGATGAATAATGGATATGAATTATCGCCCAGCATAAGTTTGTCCCACAAATGAAGGATTTTATGTAAAGGAAACACATCTGAAATATAATACAGAATATAATTATATATATATTAAATTTGATGACGGAAATACTTACGTGAAAACATTGTAAGGAACCAGGGTATAGCGAATAGTTCTGGTATAAAATTTATACTAGCTAAATGGCGTGCTAATATCGGTTCATGGAATGCGGTTAATTGGGAGAACTTACATAGATATTCTTTTATTATTGCAGAGTTATCCTTAAGGAAAAACCATTGCAAATATTTTGGTATAAATTTATAAAGACTAAGAAAGGCCAATTCTAAAAAAACAAAAGTTAATTTTTGCGCATATACCAAAATCGAGTACCTGTCACACCTTCGTTATTAAAATTTAAATATAAAAATGGTGCAGTTAGTGAATCTAAGCCTTGCCAGTAAACATAATATGGATGTGCCGTCACCCAAGCTTTAAGTAATAGTTTTAGTTTACGATGACCTGAAGGTGAAGAGAGTAATTCATCGTACTGATGACAACGCGGTATGTCTACTTCGATCTGTATATAAAATAAATTTCAAAAAAATAAATACAAAAATAAACTTTTATGGTACACATATGTATGCATCACTTACCTGTCGATCTGTTGACGTGGCTGTAAATTTATCGATTTTCATATAACTGCCATTAGGTATAACACCAAGAAGGCAAGCCCAAATTTGACCGCGCAGCAATGGTGGAATATCCACGGCAGCTTCTTTTAAAATTAAGTCGGTGGTATACGGGTAACCCTGAAATAATAAAAAAATAAATATAAATTGAACACCAATTTTTTTGAAAAGTATAAAGAAAAATAAATATAATAAATATATTATAAATAAAAATCTTAAATGTATACCTTTAACAACCTCGAAAGTAAGCGTACGCGATAAAATTGATATTCAATATCTTTTTCTCTAATTACTAATGGTAACTGCTCCATACCAGATCCAAAATTATATACAAGTTTTTTTGAATGTATAATGGGAAAATAAGCTAAGAAGGTTAAGTTGCGTAAACGTTCGATTAAGTTATTCAACTTTAGCGGCACAACGCGATCATCCATCAAATACGATTGACTACGTTTTGGACCAGCAATGCTGCCATTTAAACATACCACTTGTGGTATAGCTAAGATTGGTGCTTCACTTCGAATTAAACCTTCTTTCTTCAACTCGGCTTGCACATCACCACCGGCTAATTGCCAAAAATAGTATATCTGTTCCAGCGGACAACGTAGCAAACAAAGTTTTGGCTTTTCTGGCACTGTGTAGCAATACTTAGAGAGATTCTTTTGAAATAATGTGTGCGTTACGAGTATTTCAGGCAGTGGACGACCAGCAGGTTGAAGGCATAAACAACTGTCAACAGCTTCACGTAAATGTACATCTAACTGTTGATATAACTCCAGGCAATCATGTTCTCGTGATATTTTCTCAAACACAGAGTTTGACTGACAAAATGATAGTATTTTACGTGATATGGCCGAAATTTTTAAGTTTGGCCAGAGTGATTGTTTCAACAGCAATTCAGCTACAATCATACCCAAGGACCAAATATCACTTTTTATATTATTTTTCCCACCAACCAAGCGCTCTGGTGGCATATATTTTATGTTACTGCGAACAATAAAAATTTATTTAATTTATTAATAAAATATATGTCATTCCTACCCTATGGGAAAAGGCACATATTCGCCACCGTTTGTCATATAAAATAAACCATAATTAAATAATTTTGCATTATCCCATTGGTCCAATAGTATATGCTTTGGCTCTAAATTGTGCACAACTAATTTGTGTTTGTGTAGCTTTTCAATGCCACGAGCGACTTGATAAAAAATACGCACAATTTGCTCTTCACTCAAATTACTATTTTTCGATTTATCTTGCAATGTGGTGCCGAAGTATTCTGACACAACGATTGTACGCTCTGAAAGAGATTAATTTAATCGTTCAAATTTAAGTCGCTTTGATTAATGGGCGGTGTATAATTACCATGTTTGCCACGTATGATGTCGATGTATTGGCACAAGTTCTCATGATGCAATTCCTTCAAACGCTGTGAACGCCCTAATATTGCTATAGAATTCGGTGTCAAAGGTAATCCTAAAATGTTTTTGATAATAAAATTGAAAATAGTAATTCGATATGAACTCGTATTCAAAATACAGAAATAAATTTTAGATGATATTGCCTACATTTCTTATAAAGGAATTAAGATAAAATATTTGATTCTTATTATTTCGATCACTAGAAATATAAAACTTTCACAAACCATTACTGCCACAAACATCACCAGGATGTGTTTTGGCAAAGAATGTTGTAGCTGCTAAACGTGTTTCTGGCTTAGCCGCAGAAGGGCTCATCCTTCCTGCTAATCCAAACTGTTAATTAATTAATATAAAATCATAATTTTTAATAAACAATTGGTTAACTGAAATTACTGTGAGTAAAGTATTTACATTAACTTTCTCAGTTTATGGGAATGATTTGGAGTGGAACAGTAAATGCAAAAAAACATATGATTTCGGCTCTACCCAATATCGACAGTGTTGCATTTTTGATATTTTATTCTAATAATTATGCGAGTGCAAAAATTATAAAAATATATATACAATATATATTATATGAATATATATGAATTATATATGTATGATTATATATTTATTTATAAATATTGAAAGTAATTAATACTAGTTTTTATGAAACAATGGAAAAGATGTATTAAGTCTAACTAGCCGAAAAACTGCACTAATGGATTATTGATATTCAGTGTCACACTAATATTAATTAAGCATACGTAATTAATATGCACACATTTTCAACCGTAGAAATATTGTCAAACACAAGCGTTGCAACCGTTTCACAGTTGAGATATATTGAACTATGCACTTACCGTATTTTCAACATTTTCCACCTGTTAATATTACAACGGGTAATTATTTAAGTTCCACTGGGCCTTAACTCGCTTTACGAACCCTTAGCAGTTAAATAATAGCATTTTTATATTTCGAACTTAAGTGTACGAACTTTACTAAAGTTGATTCTTAAACGTCAAACGCTTACATTAGGTCTGTTCGAAAGCTACTCGTAGTAAAACTTAAGTAAAACACAAGTAAAGTACGAACTGAGAGCGTAACACAAATAAAATGTTGGCACTTTACACTCTTTACAGCTTTGGGTAAAATCTGATGAGAACACAAATGCCGCGCAAATAAAAAACACAAAAATTTGAATTCGAACCAAAATAGCTGATTCACACATCAACACAAATCTTACTTGAAATAAAATGTACGAGCAAAGACTGTGTAGCATTTTCAAATTTCGACCGGGACGGTACGCTCTCTCAGATACTCTCATTTACTCGAAAATTTATTGGTTTAAAAAGGTACCATTTCTGTAAAAAAAGGTCCAAAATTTTTCTATTGTCTTTTTATAAGAATATACAAATTATATGAAATGTACAAAAAGTATAAAACAATACAACTTACATATATAAAAAAAATTAATTGAAAATATCCACAATAAAGTTGGGTCGCCGAAAATGTACCATTTTTTGAACATGAGTACCAGCGTACCAAACGGAAAAAAAAGTACCAATTTTGGTACTAAAGTACCATAAGTGGCAACCGTGGGTGGAACGCACTTGTGTATAACCAGTATTACTCAAAGTTAGTATGAGTAGCTCGTGGAACAGAGCTATTATTTGCAACTACAGTTTGCGGTAGCGTAAACTCGATTGTGCCAAGAACGAATTAAAAAAGAAAATAATTTTTTGTGTGTGTTTTTATCTTTCCCTAAATTAATTATTACATGATTTTGAAAATTTCAGCGAAATAGTTGTAAATCGTATTAATATCTAATACTAAATTTTCTATATTAGAAAAGTTAAAATAAGTAATGTGTTAAATACAACTCGTTAAAATACAACTCTGCCTGAGGGTATCGTTAGCGTAGTCACACATTTTACAAAATTTTCTATTCTACACTTTATATTTCCGCTTAGCAATATCGTTCATTTCGTTTCTGCTGGAGTGAGGGTGCAGACGTGTTTTAGTTGTAAGTATTTCTATTGGGGAAAAATGTGCTAATTTATTTAATTGAAGTGCAATAAGTGCGTTTATTTTTGTAATATTACAAATTTTGTCTCAATCAAATTTTTTCAATTTTTTTTTTATTATTTTATATTCGATCTTTAGTATTGCACGTGTTTAAATATTAATTTGATATGATGATAAATTTTATAATTCCTTTTGCGGTTTCCACCAGAAGAATTTTTTCTAAAAATTCTAAAGATGGCTTTAAGGTGTCTGAAGAAAATAATCTACATGAATTTTCTATTTTTATTTATTTTTTTTTTTCTTAATTTGTGTGTAAAAATTGTATTTGTCCTAACACGTTTTTTTTTTTTTTTATTTTTCATGCAAATAGAAAATGGCGCATCGATACGCAACACGTGGAAAAATACCGCTTAATGGAGGATGACTTTTAATACCGGTAAGTTAATGCGGAAATTCATATTCAATTATTTTTTTAATTACAAATGATGATAAAAGATGACGAGACTGAGATTAATATTTCCATGTTTTTATTTTGTGTATTTTTCACAAAATTAAAGCAATTATAATGTTAATCGTAGATGATACGGCAGCCTGACTTACATAAAATAAATTTATCATCTCAATAGTGATTTTGCCAATAGTAAAGTAATCTTATTTTGCAGCTACTTTTATATAATTGGATACATTAACCAAACTTAATTACTACCAACATTGACTGAATTGCATGGAAGGCTACCAAAAATAAAAGTAAGTTTGCTTTTAAATTTGTCTTGGCGCAGGATTGATTTTGTGATGAATAAAATAGACCTGTACTGAAAATTTTTGATAGAAATGTCATCTGATTAGACTAAGAAAATTTTTTTTAAACCAAAGTAAGATTTAAAGATGTTTAATCTATATAAATTTTTTATTTGCAGTGCAATACGGTATATGACTACATTAAAGTCTTGGCGCAGAACCAACGTAAAGCGACAGCCCATCAAGTTAGTACCACTTTATTTGTTTTAAATAAACCTTTTTTTTAATTTTATTATGATGAACAAATACAGACCTGTACTTAGTAATTTTGTGAAAGAAGTAAATCACTGATCTTAAATTAATATTTATATATATAGTATGAAATGCGGTTATAAAAGTTTTAATAAGATTGCATTGTATTTATTTCAGCACAAACGATGGATATCTGAATTGATCTCTTGGTCGGACTACTATAATTAAGGTAATTATTGGTTTAAACTTGTATATAATTGTTATATTATGCTAAAATGATGATACAATATGGCTTTCCTTTTGCGGTTTCCACCAGAAGTTAGCTAGTGATGGTTATGGACGTCTGATTTATAAACGTTCATAATTTTATGTATTTAAAATGAATATTGATTGGTGTACTTATAAGCTCTTCTTATTATTTGCAGGTACTATCTATATCAAGTAGTGCTTGGATATATGTAACAACAGTACTATGTCGTTAAATTTACATGGCAGGGAAAGCTGGAAGTTAACGTATGAGAATTATTGGTTAGTATTTTACATTTATTAAAATATATTTATAAATTTAAAAGTGATGAAACCTTTTTACCGATCTGCAATGAGGATTAAAAACTAATAAAGCTCAATAGGACTGAAATATTTTATTTAAATATTAAAAATGTCGTTTTATTGCAATATTATTAATATATTATTATTTTTTTCTTCTTAGATTTGACACACTATTGTGTGTATTGTGATAGCGAAATGACGCATATACAAGTTTATTAGCGACATTCAATTATAGAAATACAGCTTTTACTTAAAGGTAAATATTAACTTCATAAATAATATCAATATTTAAAATTAAGAAAGTTAAAATGATGATTCCAAATGGCTTTCCTTTTGCGGTTTCCACCAGAAGTTTGCTAATGACGGTTTAGGACGTCTGATTCAAATATGCATTATTTACTTTTATTATATATACTTAAAACATTGTTTTTATAAATGTTTATTTCTTGTTTTTTTCAGTTTTGCTATTGATTCAGTGAATCTTATTTTACTCTGATGAAATAATAGGAGTTAAACGCTATTGACTTGAGTAACAAAACACTTAAAGGAAGTAGTAAAAACGGTTTCTAGTTGAATATAGTACTAGTTGCAGTAATATTCATAAGGCTTACAATGATACTGATGCTGAAACTATGGTTATGATTTCGGAGATAACCAGGCGATTGATAAAATACGTCAAAGTCTACTTATGAGTAGCGTAATTTATTATATACTTGATTAAATGTTACAAAGAGTATTATCTGCAATAAATGTTATATACAATTTTATACAATGTGAACAATTTAATATCGGCTGGGAATATATAGCAAGCAGGAGTGAAGATAACTGCAAAATTATGTAGGTTTAATAGTAACAAGGATAAAATTTTAGTTATATAGAAAGTAATTTTTGGAGATGTATATTCAGTAACTTTGTCAATATGGTTTAAAAATAATTAAGTTTTTTTGGTTTGTAATAACGGAAGTTTTTAATATAGATTATTCAATTTACGCATTTTGTTTTTTACTACTAAAATGTACATAGGGTTGTATTTAAACAAACTGCGAGTTATTTAAAATGGCATAATAGGTTTGTGTCTAGAATTTATTTTTTTATTTACAACAAATTGGTTTCCGTATAAAAATAATTGAAATAAAAAAATAACTTCATCATGTTTAATTAAATTCATATAAACATTATTTATTACATTAAATGAAACAAGCTTCAAAGTAAACATAATTTTAATGCGCTTAACTCCATTCACATCAGAAACTTTTACTGATTATTTTGTTATTCACTTACTATTGGTTTTAAGATAGCCAAAGCTTGTATTTAAAATAATTTCAGTAGTGTAAGAGAAATTTTTTATCTATTAAGCAGTTATTTTTATCTTATTAAGCAGTCATTTTCATCTTATTAAGCAGTCATCGTGCATTAACAATGAACAGACATATAACTGGTTCAAGAGTAAACGCTAAGCATATTTTGGTAAAGCATAGAAGTTCTTGTATAAGAAAAATAATAATTTAAACAAAAATGAGCACTACTGTCAAGGAAGAAGATAAAGTTAGTCACAAAAGTGACCACTTCATGCTGGAGGAAGACGATGAATTTGAAGATTTCCCACCAAAAGATACAAACACTGAAGAAGATGATATATTAAATGACCGTGCTGACAATTGGGATGATGATAACGTTGAAGACAACTTCAACCAACAGTTGAAAGCACATTTCGTAAAACAATCTAGAAATGCAAGTCGAAAACTCACGTCAACTGCCTTTGATAACAAAAAAAAAAAAAGAAAATATAATTTTAACATATATTTATATATATATACTTTAATACATAAAATTATAACTGGTTCAAGTTGCAACATTGAGTGCAATTTTTATTATTTATTT